ACAATTTATTTATAAATTATAATACTTTTTTTTTTTTTTTTTTTACAGGGAAATAATTTATTTTTGCCAAATTTTCATATATTTATTTAATAATTATAATAACAACAAATTATTATTATTTTATAGCCCTATTAATATATAATCACACAATTTTGGTCAAATTGAGCAGCATTTTTATTAGTTTTTCCTCTTTTTAAAAATGACTGTTTTGCTATTTTAGGTTTAATTAATTTTTATTTCAGGTTCAGTTATAGTTTTTATTTATTTCCAGTAATTTCAGCATAAACTCATTTCAGTTAGTTGCCAAGGCAACATTTCCATTTTTGTTTAGTTAAAATTTTTCATATAATATTTATTTTATTTTAGCTTTCAATTATTAAAGTGAACAAAAATGTTTTAATAGTTTTATTAATATATTATCATGTCTTAACTTTCGTTAGTTCACAGTGCATTCATTAATGTTAACAGATTTAAAAAATGTATTGATAAATGTTGAAATTGTAGCTCACGGTAATGAAATAGTTAACAAATGAAATCATCTTTTAAGTGTTATTTTTATTTGCATGCACCAATTATAAACACAGTCATAAACAGCAGTATATATTATTATGAACATATTTTGATATGAAAACGGACACAATGGAGGCTAAACACTGAGAGATGATTCAAATGAATCATTGCACCGAAGTTCTGAATTGATTCACTGAATCGAACCGTATGAACGGAATCATGTAAATGAACCATCACACAAATTCAGCAAATATTAATATCTCAGCCAGCCCTAATATGAACATGTGTAATAGCTGTTTATCTATTTGACATGAATCATGTGCTGGATGAGCCGCTGCCGTCACAATCCTCTTATTTCAGTCATGGATCAAATATTATACTGATTTCTGAAGATCATGTGACACTGAAGACTGGAGTAATGATGCTGAAAATACAGCTTTGATCACAGAAATAAATTACAGTTTAACAGATATTCGCATAGAAAACAGCTGTTTTACATTGTAATAATATTTCAAACTTTTACTGTTTTTTTTGTTACTTCTTTTGAATACACTTTTTTTTTTTTTACATGCATAAATTTAATAAATATTCCAGACCTTTGACCAGTAGTCTAAATACTAAATACGTATTTAGAACTATTATGCATATTGTGTATAATATGTACTGCTCTGATAATCTATATTTCATAAATCAGTGGTTCTCAGCCGGTGAATCTCAGATCTCTTCTGTTTAGGTTTCAATCTACAGTAAAAAACAATGTTAAATGCAAATAATAAAGCACTACTAACCATATAATCATACACTGTTAGGATAGCAAAATAAATAGACTTACCACAGGAGAAATACGTGCCATATTATCCTTTGTTGTTGATGTCAAAAGGTTGTAAACTCAACAGTATTTTGATGTAAATCAAATGTTACTAATGCACTGCAAAAACTATCTAAATATCATTAAAAAGATAAACTTGAAAAGCAACACTTTATAAGATATTATGAATTACTTTATGGACTGTATATTGCATACAAGTGTATTTTGGCACTTGTTATAAACGTGTTTATACTTACATGTAAAAAGATCTGCCAAAATACACAAATATTCAAGACACAATCTATGAAAACAAGTCCTGGTATCTAATGGCATAATGGTATCACTGTTGCTTCTCACGCAAATGCTATGTGGATATTTTTAATTGGAAAATAAGATATAAATGCTCATTAACAGTTGGTTTTAGCCGTGTAATTTGGCAAAACACCAAACCAACCAGTGTTTTTTTTTTTTTCATAGGTTTGACTGGTAAATCACATCAGATGTAGTTCAAGCATTTACAATATAGTCTATTTTTCTATTTAGCAAATGCAAGCAAAACCAGTTAAGAGCCACTGTAATATATATATATATCATAAAAATTAAAAAAAATTAAAAAAAATCACAAATTCATTATTTTGAGACCAAAATTAATAATTTACCACTTTGTCAAAACCATAACATACAGTAAAGTTCAAAACAAAAGTTTGGAATATGTTTTCATGTTTTTAAATTAAGTCTCTTCTGCTCACCAAGGCTGGATTTATTTGATCAAAAACAGTAAAAATTGTGAAATATTATTACGATTTAAAATAAAGAGTTTTCTATGTAAACCTATTTTTAAATGTAATTTATTTGTGTGATGCAAAGCTAAATTTTCCAACAGCAATTACTTGGAAACTGATACAAAAAATTAATAAAAAAATAATATTAAAAACCATTTTTATTGATCAAGGATGCTTTAAACTGATCAAAGGGACAGTAAAGACATTCATAATGTTACAGAAGATTTCTATTTCAAATAAATGCTGTTTAAACATAGATTCACCTGGAAAACAGCTATTTTAAAATTTCACAATTTTTACTGTATTTTTGATCAAATAAATGCAGCCTTGGTGAACATGAGAGACTCTTTCAAAAATATTAAAACATCTCATCTTATCCAAACTTTTGACAATTATTCCAACATCTTTGTCATGGTGTTTCTCACATGCAATATGAATGAATCAAACACAACGGTTTGTAGTATCAAAATAAAGTGATTTATTCGAGCCTCTGAATGCTAGACACTGAGATTCAGTTTAGTCCACGAAACAGATTTAAGTCAGATACACGTCAGAACATGCATGACCAACCGATCTCTCGACGTGCCAAGAT